TGAGATTTTGCAGGGGTGTTGTACAAACCTAGCCCGTTTGGTAACATGGCATTGTCACTATTTGCATGGGATACTTGCACCAGCTGATTCCAGCCAATGTTTGATGTCGTTAGTGGACTCAATGAGGGTAAATGAGCTTAATCCAGACAGGGCAGCCATGCCTGTGATTAGCCAAAAGGTACATCAAGGAGTAGGGGTTCAAACTGTTCTGCAAAAGATTATGTTTCATTTGAATATTTAGATATGCAGTTTGAATGTATTTCTGGACTCAGCTTTAATGCCTGGGTGCTCATGTTTTTATGCTGGCAAGAAGTCTGCATAGCTAGTTATAGTGGTTCAGTGGTTAAACTGCAGTACTGCAGTCAAAAGTCTGCTCATGACCCAAGTTTGATCCCAATGGGCTCAGGTAGCTTGCTCAAAGGTGACTTGATCTTCTGTTCCTCCAAGGCCTGGGAATTTAGTAGCCAGCTTACTGGCTGTGTGTTAATGTATAGCCTGCATAATTCAGTTGTAAACCTCCCAGAGCAGTATATAAGCAGCACACTTTATTGTGCCAGTTCTGCCCATTTCTGGAGATGTCTGGCCATTGTTGCATGTATAGTGATGCCTCGCTTAACGAGGATAATCCCTTCCAGTGAAATCGCTGTAGAGCGAAATCCTCGTTAAGCAAAATAAAAAAGCTCATTGAAATGCATTGAAAACCCTTCAACGCGTTCCAATGGGCTGAAAACTCACCGTCCAGCGAAGATCCTCCATAGGGCAGCCATTTTCAATGCCTGTAAAGCAAGGAATCTGTCCAAAAACACAGTGGGGAGCCATTTTGTACACCCGGTGGCCATTTTGAAACCCAACGATCAGCTTTTTTTAGATCGTAATGCGAAAATCGGTTCCCGAGGCAGGGAACCGATCATCATGAAGCGGATTTTTACCATTTAAACCATCATTTTGCAATCGCTTTTGCAATCGCAAAAACCTAATAATCAAGCGATTTCCTCGTTAAGCAAGGCACCACTGTACTTTAATTACATTCTGTTTAGTCTGCAGTAGCATGCCCCCCTGTGTTGGACTTTCTTTGGAAAGTGCTGAGAAACTTCATGGTCCAGAATGCTCCATCCAGACTGTTGACCTGGGGTTGATTAGAGGACCTTTGTGATTCTCTTGTCATTGTGACTTCTTGACTATACATCAGTTTTTAGTCACATGTCAAAGTATTGGCTGTGATCTGCAAAGCTACATATAATTTTCAATAGGCTATTTGAAATTTGGCATTCTCTTATGACAGCCTGCCTGGGTTTTAAGATATTAGTAGGAGGCCCTTCCCTGTGGATTTTAAGATTTTTGTGGAAGGTGCTTCTCATGTAATTTCTGAAAGAGGAGATCTTGTGTCTTAATAAATGAGGTAATTCTCCCCTGACTGAGAGGAAGTCAGCCTATAAATGAAACAAAGAACTGTTATTGTTAGTGTTCTGTGTGTGGTTTGGAGTTGGGTGTACAGGGTGGAATCCAAGACTTGATGCTCCACGCATTTGGCAAGAGAAGAGGAAGTTTATTTAAAGCCCACCGTGTATGTGAAAGGGGTCAAAATGAGATATTGGACTGGGTTTGGAAGGGAAGTAAGATTAGTATTAAAATCCTGTATTCCTGTTTAATTTTTTTCTACTATGAGTTAATAAAATATAGCACCACCATATTTTAACAACCAATTTATGATTGGAAGAGAGGTTTAACAGCAGCAGTCATTGGCATGAAGAAAAGAACAAACTTCTTAAAATATTGAAAATATTTCTTTAACATTTTAATTTTGGGGAAAATGTTCTGTATTTAAGATGACAGGTTGTGAGTGAATCAGAAATAGACTGGGAACTAATGCAACTTTCAAAACTACTGTTAAGAAAAAGTGAGCATGCTGTTTTAGTTAAGTTGTGTGCCAAAGAAATAAAGACTTAAAATTAACCAAAAGTGCATGTTTTAATTATGAGTGGAGCTACTCAGCTTGTCTAAAAGTAAAGGGGAAAACAGTTGAAAACAGCATGTTTGCCTTCAAAAGTGTGTATTTTCCCATTATATAGGATGAATCGATAAATGGCATTATTTGTGGAATTTGAGTGATAACTGTTGTGAACAGTATTTGTGTAGGTTTTCCCAGATGCAGTGTAACTATGTTTTGAGAAGCCAAGATTAGATGAAAAGAATCTGGTTTCTTCAGCTGGTGGGGGACAGATGGTTGCTTTAAACAGGTGTCACTTTTATTTCTCATGTATTGTGCTAGGACTTCCACTGACATCTAAGGACTGTGTAAAGCTTACAATGTTTTTTCATTTGTCTGTGGTAGAATAAAAAGTATATGTCCTCCTCTTCTCTGGGCATCAGAACAGTTTCCTATCTTGAATATTTTATTGGTCTGAAATCTAATAGCACATTCTTACATTGTCTCCCTGCCACCTCTTGGGAGGGAGTAATTCTACGTAAAAATGATTTTTAGAGGAAGTAAAATGTAATTGAGCAGAGATTCACTCTGTATATCTATCTACACATAATCCCAATAATTTTCTTAAAAAGCAAGTAACTTTTCTTAAAAAGCAAGTAAAATTTGTTTTGGTATCAAATTAACTACAGCATAGCTGTAAAACCCCAAAATATATACATATAGTTCACCTCTAATATAATCTTCTTTTCATATCATAATAAAGATACCACCTACCTTTGACAGGAAAAAATGATTACTGCCCTTATAGTCACAATAGTCACTAATATTTACTAGTGGTTAGGAGATCTTCAAATAAAATCTGTAGAAGACAAGGCTTCCAGAAGGGCACAGTTTCACGGAATGCTTCCCACATTGGCTGAAATCTTTTTGTGCAACTTTATGCTGCAGAAGTGAGGTGATGTTGCCATCCCATGGTGGTAATATTTAATTTAATTTAGCACTTCATGTCCCAGTTTCAGGTTCTGATGCCCTCTAAGGCTCCCTTTTGATCTGCATGAGATTTTGGGAGCCATGGGGAGTTGGGGTTGGGGGATATTCAATATCCCCAAATTGCCACTGGATTGTTGCTGTCAGGACTGGGATTGGCAGCAGTGGTTTTTAAAAAAAATTAGCTCCCCTGTCACTATCCCAAGGCGTTCAAAGGCTTCCCCAGGTCTAAAAGGAGCTTTAGGGAGCGTTAGAACTTGAAAGGAGGTGAGTGGGATGGACAGCTTTCAGTTAAATTGAATGTTATCAGCATGGGATGTGGGTGTCATCCTACGTATGTGGTGCAAAATTCACCAAGAGGATTGCAGCCCATATGTTTGTGTTTTCACATAATAACCAGAAACCTATTGATGATTTAGGCATGTGTAAGAGAAATTGTATAAAATTCAAAAATGGCCACTCATTTCTGAGGTATTGGTTGCATTCCTATGCCCAGGAACCTAACCAACATTACATAAGCTTAGTTCAGCAGTAGGATTCTGGTCACTGTGACTATGTTGGTATCCATATGAAATGAGCAATGTGTTTCCAAAGGAGTCTTATGCGGAGCCTTTTTCGGTGGAGGGGAAAGACTACTCTGGCATCTTCTATGAGCAAAAACAAACAAACATAAAACAAGAGCCACTGATTACTCCCTTCCTGAAAGAGCACCATAGCAAGAGCAAGTCAGCTAGATGCTAGCCATCACTTAGGGAAGATAGGCCTACAGGAAGTTAGTTCTCTTTCTCCCATTCATTGGGAATTCTGCTCTTAGCACTTACTGGGAGAGTAAGTGAGGGGAAGGACAATTTGCTTCATCTCAGAGAACTTCCACTAGCCCACTCTGGCAGAAACTCTAGTGAGTAAGTAGCAATCTGCCCCCATCTGGTCATCAATGCCTGTTTGTAGCCCACCTTGTTCTGTCCTCAAAGAACTGATCTTTTTGATCTCTGTTGTCTACCCTTCCCCTCCTCTCCTTTTCTTTTGCGTATTTTACCTTTTTGTTTGGTAAGTCTCAAGGCAGGGGTTCTGTTCAACTTTGTCAAGTGTTGATTGTTGACAAAGAATAAAGAATTTGCTAGGGAAATGAAATGTACTAATACACACATTCAATTCTAGTCACACTGTAAATATCAATAGAAAAATGGAGCGTTAATATAAAGATATCACCATTCTAATAGGACTTAAGTAACTCGCAGTAAAATTATAAATTAACAGGAAACAATTAACGGGAGAATATTTTTCCTTTCACAGTTATTTTGAAAAAGACTATGTATTAACAAAGTCAAATAATAAATTTGAGTCAGAGTTATGCTCAGATAAATGTAATGCTTAAAATCCAGATTGGTTTGGACTAAAATTTCATCTGAAACAGTGTGCTTGTAATTCTACAGAGAAGTCTTGTGTACAGTATTGTCATATGAGCTGTGTTCTCTTGCATTCTCTTCTCTTGTGTTTAGAGATAGGCTGCTACATTGGTTGAAATCCTATCCCTTAAAGTGTAGGGTGCGGAGAAAGGACATGTGGCAGTTATCTGGGCCCTCGTAATTGACTTTTCTGGAAGTCTTTTTACTCATGCCACTTCTATTGTTTGTGTAATGTTCTTCTGATTCAAGGGGCAGGACTGACCTTTGGGTGTGCACAGGATTCTGACTAAGCTCCATTCCTCCTCTGCCCTGTTTTCACCTCCACACACTTTAATCTTTGTCAGTGATGGTGTCTATAGTAATAAAATCATGTTGGTGTAGATTAGTTTTTCTGAACTAGCAACATTTGGCAGAGATCTCCAGTACGTGTAGCTTGCTACTACTCAACAGATCTATGTAAATTAAACCACAAGCAGTTTGGATGCCTTGCATGTTTGCAGTGGTTAGCTTTTCTGTGTAAAGCCTTTGTGCATAAAGCCCCCAAATTTGCATTACATTTTCTAAGCAGTGTACGAGTTGTTAACGTTCTTTGTTGCTATTGGCACAGTTTTTGTAAAAAAAAAAAACCACTTCTCCTTCCCATTGCTAATTAAGATATTAATTTTTTTCTTCTTGTAAAGGTTCAAATATCACTTCTGGGATGGATGGGAACAAGTGTAAGTTTTACAATTTACACTCCATTAAACCTTCTTAATATACAGATGTTTATAATGCAACCAATTAATTGTATTTTGAATAGCAATGAAGATTGGAAACAGTCTCAAAAATCATGATAAATTTAAATTTTAAATTTCATGTCAGTCAGAGTTGTAGGACAAAACATTTGGATGGTCAAACATTCTCCACCTCTGCCTTCTGGATTAAAAAAAACCATCTTTGGCCTCTAGATTTAATGGGAAAGTCATAATTTATGACTTACTTTTAAAAATACCCCTATGGATTAGTTTATTCAAGCAACAGGTTTTACACTTCGGTTGAAATCCAGCAGTGAGTCAGAGTAGGCCCATTGAATCAGTGAAGCTTACAGAGGAGTTGACTCACCAAATCCTCAGTAATTTAGTGGACCTATTCTAGTTACTATTCAACTTACTACTGGATTTCAACATTTGTAAGAGAGATTCTCATTCCAAGTATTTGCCAATGTACAACTGTGTAGTTATCTGTCTTGGATCAGAGTGAGAAGGTTATGCTTGATAGCTATATGTTGGTGAACTCGGGCAACATCTAAAAATGCATTATAGAAATGGAAGCCTTCCAAAATGCTTCGATTACTTTCTAACAAATATGGGTAAATGCTTAACTTTCATTTAAAAAGTAATTCAGGCTATTCCTAAAGCTGCAGGATAGACTTTTCCAGTAAATTGTATACATTTATTGAAATCTTACTTAACACTGTTAAGGTTTAATGTCATTGTTTCTTGGTAACAATTTATTGATTTGTTTTTATAACTCACAGCAGTGTGAAACGTGTTGATCAAAATATGCTTCTTTGTTTTTAGAAAGTTAATGATTACTAACATTTTTAAAAATTATTTGTAAAGAAAAGACAATCCATCATATTACAAATAATAAATACAAAGCTTAACATAGTAAACTGTCATCTTACATTGTCATATAATTTAACTGTTGAGCAATGGCTATTCCCCACAATTCTCCAAACCACATTTACATCATTCCCCGTCACATCTTAAAGAAATATCGACCAACAATCTAAATGCTCCAAATTGTTTTCCAAACCATGTGTCTCAAAATTTATTTTATTGGCATATTTTAATAAAGGCTTCCAATTTTCAGTGAATTGACTGTGCCTTATTTCTCCTCTATATAGTCTAACTTTATTAGTCATTTTTTCCATCAACATTGTATGCCATATCTTATTTGTAAATGCTTGTAATGAGAGATCTTGAGTGTTTTTCCAGATTCTAGTGATCTCAGATCTTGCAGTGCCTATAAGGTTTGCAACTAATTCTTTATTTTCAAGTTTCTCATTTTCCCCTGTAAATAATGAAAATAGCAATAATATTTCATTCATATCTATTTTTTGATTAGTCAGTGTCTCTATCCATCTAATTACCTCGTGCCAGAATGCTTCTATTTTGGGGCAGGAAATCCACATATGTTCCAAAGTTCCTTTTTGTCCACAGTTCCTCCAACATTAATCCGATATATCTTTATTAATTCTATATAATATTGTAGGATATAGATGCCATCGATGCACTACCTTCAGAACCATTTCTTTCACATTTGCTGATACAGATTTACAGTATATGGGTATTCCATATTCTTGTCCAGATTTCTTCAGGTATATTAATATTTAAATTTGTTTCCCGCACTATTTTAGATCCTCCACCTTTTCTATATTCTTTCTCAGTAACACTTTGATATATTAGTGAGTTTAGTCCTTTGTTTTTATTTTTATCTTTTTTAATACAATATTGTTCAAATTCAGTTAATGTTCTTAGAGGGGCAGGTTTTTGTTGTAAGTGAGTAGCGAAACTTCTTATTTGTTTTATTTGTATCCAATTGTTTTTATTTGCTTTGTTTTCTCTTTTATTTGCCGAATAGTGATTGGTTCCCCTGAATCAAATAAGTCAGTTATTCTATATATTCCAGTTTGTTTCCAGTCCTTAAATTGTGCATATTTCTCTTGAGACTTAAAAATTGGGTGATCCAAAAGGGGACATAAAGGGGATATTGGCGGGGCCAAAGTTTTCCTATGTTTTCGCCATATCCTTAATGTTTCACAAATGAATGGGTTCTGTATTTGTTCTCCTTTTCTAATTATTTTAGTGGCATAAATATGCTTATTTACTATGTCCATTTTCATTTCACCTTCCATATCCACCCAGTCGGAATTCTTGCAAGTCTGGTTGATTTGTATAAATTTAATAATTTGGTTTATTTGTAAAAGTTCATAATATTTTTGGAGCTGTGGTATCCCTAATCACCCCTTTTGATCCTGTCTATATTTAACACTATTTATAAATCTTATCTTCTTTCCCTTTCCTGCAATGAATTTTTCTAGCTTTCCTTGCCATAGTTTTAATTTTTTTTGTATCTGACTGTAATGGAATATTTTGGAATAGAAATTGAAATTTTGGTAATATGTATGATTTAATTAGAGCGATTCTCCCCAACATTGATAGGTTCAAATTGACCCACTTTGTCATTTTTTCCTTTGCTAAATAGATTTTTATAGTTTCTGTAAATTAATTGATTAAGGTTTTTTGTTACCCATGTTCCTAAATGTTTAAAACTTGAATAGCATAACTTTAAATGAAATGCTTTTAAAATTTTGTTTTGTTCTATAATAGTATTTAGACATAATAACTTAGATTTTTGGAAGTTTATTTTTAAAGCTGTATACTGACTATATTCCTGTAATATTTCTTTTAAGTGTTCTATTCTTTGTAATGGGTCCTCCAAAAAAAGGGAGCATATCGTCTACGTATAAATTTATTTTGTGTTATCTAATTTTCATGATCAGTTCTCTGTTTCTACGTTCTCTTATTTTTGCCACAAGAGGTTCTATTATTAATGCAAATAAAATTGGAGACAAGGGATCACCTTGTCTAGTTCCCCTAAATAACTGGTTTAGCAGTTTCTTCTTTCACTGTAATCTATAAAGCATAGACTGATATTTTTCTGAAATTCTTTGGTGTGCTCCAGTTGACTGCAGATATTTGCATCATGATCTTGAGTGCCTCTTCCTTTTCAGAATCCAGCTTGAACATTAGGTATTTCACATTTCATGTAAGGTACAAGCCTTTTTTGTAACAACTTAAACATCACTTTGCTTGCATGGGATATTAGAGCAATGGTCCTATAGTTGATGCACTCCTTGACATCTTCTTTCTTGAGAATTGGAATGTATATTGAACATTTCCAGTCTGCGTGCCATTGTTTCATTTTCTAAATTTTTTGGCATATTCTTGTTAGGATTTTGAAAGATTCAGTCTCTGTGGCTTGAAATAGTTCTGTTGGTATTCCATTTGTCCTGGTGATTTATTTCTTCTTTAGTGCTTTCAGAGCATTTTTCACTTCACTTTCAAGAACTTTCGGTTCTTCAGAGGAGTCTGTCATCCTTTCTCTCTTCTGTATAGGTCTTTAATATACAGTTTCCACCTTCTCTTTTTTTGAGGGACGTGGTGATGCTGTGGGCTAAACCGTAGAAGCCTGTGCTGCAGGGTCAGAAGACCAAGCAGTCGTAAGATCGAATCCACGTGACGGAGTGAGCGCCCGTCACTTGTCCCAGCTCCTGCCAACCTAGTGGTTCGAAAGCATGCAAATGCGAGTAGATTAATAGGGACCACTCTATGGCTCTATGGCTTGGAAACGGGGATGAGCACCGCCCCCTAGAGTCGAACACGACTGGACAAAAACTGTCAAGGGGAACCTTTACCTTTACCTTTACCTTCTCTTTATTTTGTTCTCATTCCTAATCTTTTTGATTTCCTGGATATTCTGGAACAGATCTCTTGTTTTTGCCCTTTTATCGTTCTCTGTTGTTTTGTACTGGTTATTGTAATGGTTTTCTGTCTTTACATGATAGTTTCTGAAAACAAGGTTCAGAGTTCTGACCCTGTTCTTGTCACCTTTTACTTTGGCTTCTCACTTGTACTTTACACTTTTAAGTGTTTCTTCCATTATCCATCTAGGTTTTTCTCTTTCAACTATGTGAATTGTCTTTTTGCATTCTTCTCTAATAATATCTCTGGTTTCAATCTACAGATTTTTTAAAAATGTATAGTCAATGAGTTTAGTAATGCAGATCTGTTCCTTATGTGGTCTTCAAATTCTTCAGGAATGTTGTTTAAATTATATTTTGGCAGTACAATTCTTTTAGTGTTCTTTTTCAGCTTTACTCTAATATTTGATATGACTACTTCATGATCAATTCCACAGTCTGCTTGCTTCTGGTCTTGTTTTGGCAGAGAGAATGCAATTTTTCTATCTCCTGTTCCTCATTACAGTGGTGCCTCACACAACGATGTTAATTGGTTCCAAAAAAATCAACGTTGTGTGAAACATCGTTCTGTGAAACACCATTTCCCATAGGAATGCATTGAAAACCGGTTAATCTGTTCCAATTGGAATGGATTGCCATCGCTGAGTGAAAATCCCCATAGGAAACATCGCTGTGTGAAACAATGTTCCTCCATTGGAATGTATTGAAGCCGACTCAATACATTTCA